CGTTCACGCCTTCGATGGGTGGGATTTCCTTGTTTTTATGCCAGATATCGACTTTACATTTGCGGTTCTTACGGGTTGCTCCTAGGTATCGGGGAAGTAGCTTAGGTATTAGATTAATTACAGATTAGTGGTTGAATAATTGAGCGGTTTGGCCTAAATGGGTTTTAGTCAGGAGAGGTAATTATTTCTGTTTGTAAAAACAAACAATTAATGTTTTAGGTTTGCAGTTTGGTAAGAGCTCTTAATGGTCAAGTTAATAGCTTGGAATCCTTTTTATTTTCTAGTAAAAATACCTGGTTAAAAACAGTTAATGAGCTTTTTTCTAGGTAAAGCCAATGATGCATACCTTGAAATAACTTTTAGCTTAGCAAATTACATTTTTTAGCTCTCGGATCCTTAATGAGAAAATAGGAAATCGTTTTAGACTGTTTATGTATTCCTTTGTAACTATAGTTACGATCTGTTCTGCAACACAGCATTTACATTCTTAATTGAAGAACCAGAATCAGTTAACAAAGGTTTGAGGGAAGACTGACCACATTACATTCCCATCTCACAAAGAACTCCATAAATGTAATGCGTTTTTTTTATGGACTTTGTCATAGAAGTCCAGCAACAACAGTTGGCAACATAATTTATGCATCACTGGCCGTCTTTCTGCGCGGAATTTATGGTCTTGACCAGAAGAGGGCATTCGCCACATCGATGAAGAGGCTGTGCCGAGGTGATAATGTATAGGAAAACACACGACCGGGGCTCGGCTGGGGCCTTGATGATTGCGTCAGTGCTGCGGGCAGGCCATAACTAAAAGAAGAGCTACGACCAAAGAGTCCGGAGCAGAATCCGACCGAAGCCCAAAGACTAAAGACCAAAAGACCAAGGCAAATAAATTGCAGCTGCTCGACCGGGGCGATGAAATACAAATAGAAAGACTTGGCAGCTACTGGATGCTGGATGAAGTTGCCACACAGTTGGTTCCCCTGCGAGCTGCGGGGAATCGGAGGGAGGCTGCCTGGGCTGGCTGTCAGACGTAGTCACTTCACATGTCCTTCGGCTTGTTTGTCTTACACTCTGACGCTCCGTGGATCGGAGCCGCGCAAAGTAAAGTTGTTTGGCCAGACAAGACTTGGCCAAATGTCTGGCCAACGTAGTCGAGCACGAATCATGATCATTTGGGCATAAAAATTACCTTTTGCTGAGTCGTTTTTACACCTGGAGAAACTATCGGGAACTAAACTATATAATTTTAGTAAGTTTAAAGTCAAATTTTAGGAAAAGTTTAGAAATCTTTAGGAAGGTTCTAAATTAGAAGCTCATAGGGATTAATGTTTTAATTATTTGGCTTCGGTAATTTTTCATTTTTTTGATCAGTGTAACCTTCTTTGAGACTTCTCTTAACCTTTTATGGGAAGATTGAGTCTCAGCTTCTCGAGTCAGCTCTCGATTGGCTGCAGATTTAATCAGCCTCGTCGACCAACATATAATTTTGCGAATTGCAAGTTGCATGTTAGGGACGACAATGGGCAGTTGGGGGTTCCCAGCCTCGGCAATGTTCCCGATTTCAAAGGAGGCCAGCAAATTGAATCCGCCTGGGTTATGATGGCCTGCCTCTGGCTTAGACCAACTCTGGCCTCTCTGGTTTCGTATGCAGATGGGAAATGGAAATGGCAATGGCAAAGCCCATTAGATGTCGACACAAGCCCTTCCCCAAACCCAAGACCCCGCGGTAATGACCCTAAATCAGCATCAGCTTCTAGGCCAGTGCCCAACCGAATGTCATCATCAGCCGCGGGCCATCCAGCGGATAACTCGCTCCCCAGATCGTAATAAAAATGTCGTCTGACTTTCGGCGCGGGGGTGTCTTTTGGGCCATCGTCCTCCGTCTGGGTCTGCTTTAATGCACAACATATTCATGTGTCAAAAGACAATTCCGGATTTATGGCCTGCGAAATCCCCCGGACCCAATACGCCGCAGCCAGCGAGTGACGCAATGTGGGCGAGCCACCAACAAGGGCAAAAAATATGTTAAGAAAGCATAAAATGATATCCAAACTACCCACTATGTGTGTGATCTGGTCTCCGTCTCTGTGTCTGGGTTCGGGGCTTTGGCTGGAAATCTCGCTCATGTCTGCCTTGGGTTTGCATAAATTAGGATCTGGACGGGTTGCTGAAAGGAAAAGGGAGGCGCAGGGGAAAATATTCAGTTGGTAACGCAAAAAACTGGCATTTCACTTCTTTTTTTTTTTTTCTTTTCCTACCCGAGAGCTCCCAGTGTGTGTGTGTGGCAGAATTTTCCTTTTCGGTTGATGCGTTTGCTATGGCATTTTTAGGGTTGTAATTGAAATTAAATAGATGTCGTGCCATGAATTCAAATCGCTTTCGTTTGGCCAACAAAATGGGGGCTTAAAGAGTTGAATTTGCACAGAAATAAAACGGGTACATTGGAAAATTTTCTTAAAGAAATATTGGAATATAAAGCCTGAATTTAACTTTAGTAGTTTCCCAAAAATTCATAAAGCTTACAAAAATATGCAAAAAGCTAAGAGGAATTCAAACTCTTTTTCAGCATCCTCTGAAAATTCCTGTTCTTCTTTCTATTCAACAATTTTTCCGTATTTTCATTTCTCTTATCAACACCCAGCGAGTAAAAGCGATTGCTTTTCTTTCCACTTGCTATTTTCCCGCAACGGCGGAACTATTTTCGCAAAGCTTGAAAAACTTTTACTTTTCACGAAGCGCGCTGAATTTATGTGTCACTGGCACTTCAAGTGGAAGTTTCATCGGGAAGTACCCCGGTATTTCCTTCGCCGTGAATTGATGTTGGCGAAATCGATTTTCCTTCAAGGCACCTGGCATTCCGGCATCCGTAGCATCCCCGGTATCGACTTCATTTGTTGGGCAATCAGCTCTAATTAGCATCAGACCAAGTTGAAATGCAAAACGCGTTGCGAGGGTAGCTTCTGGGGTTGGGGAACGGATGGGTAGCTCAAAGTAAATTGCTATTACTTGTCTATAATTGTGTTAAGGGCTGGGGGAGGGAGCAAAAGTTTTACATCTGCGGAATTTTAATTGTAATTGTTTTCAAAGTTGAATGTTAGAATGGGTGACTGAGTGAAATTAAAAGCGGAAAGAGCTGTGGGTGTAGGAGACTGCAGTTTAGTTGGGAAATTATGTTTAGCAACAATGTTTTTCTTTTATATATCATGGAAAATTATATTTAACCGCGGAAATGTTGAAGTCTAATAGGTATTGTGGGTAAAAATACTGTAGCATAGAGTAGTAACTATAAGTCACATTCTTTTATGATTTATTTAATTTAATTCTGACAGTCTTACCATTACATTTTTTTTAAATATAATTAGGAGGAAGCCAGTAAACTTCAGCGCTCTCATAATTCCAACCACTTATCGCCACATTTATTTCAGTTAACATCTCCAGTTTGCAGTTCTTTTTCTGTTTAATGAGCTGCAACTCACATGTCTGAGGCCCATTAAACCCTTTGACCCCCGCAATGCAGCGGCCCAGGTATCGCAAGCTCTCTATCTGGCTTAGCCGGGTTCATTATGCGACAGTTTTTCATATCTACCCCTAGACCTCGAATTCCTGCAAGCCGTCTCTGCTCTTACTAATTACATTTTCCGAGTGCAAACGAAGCGTGCGAAGGGGCGACGCGGCGGAGGGGCTGTCTGGGGGTTTGCCCCACTAATTGGTACGATATATATGTGTTTATAATGCGGACCGCTTTATGCTCTCCTCCGGCTCCCGGTGGCATGAATAGAGCGAGGAATAAGTGGCATAAATTAAAATAAAATGTACAAGTATGAAATGTAACTGCGGCGGACGGGAGACGACGGGAGCGATAAAAATCTAAAATAAACACACGCTGCAGCAGCAACATGCAACGCGCCCAGCAACTACATCAGCATTAATTAAGCATGAACATTTAACCTGCCCACTCGGCCACGCCTCCACCTATCCACCATTCCTAGGGAGTCGCGTGTCTTGGCCAGGGGTCTCTCTCTCTCTCTCTCTTCCCTATTCCCTGTTTCCTGTTCTGCGTTCTGTTCGGTTTTAATAATGTGATTGATTTATTGTGTATCCCACGGAGGCGCCTTGCAGATGCAAAGGCATTATGTGAAGGGGCAACCCTCCTCCGTAATCGTATGGCTAATTTAATTAAAAATGCATTTGCCGGACAGGTAACAGTTGCAGGTTGCACACACAAACACGACCTGTCAAAACTATCAGATCAATTTGCAGATAAGACAGGGAAAGGTATCCCGGACAGGTGCCAGGAGGTGTGACGTGGGTGCCCTTACTATTTACTCAAAGAAAAATTAGGTAGAAGTATTCTCTACTTTAAGGTGGAACCTTAGAACCTGAGATCTTGAAGGTCCTCGTCCATCACTCCTTTTATTTGTTAGCCAACTTATTTGTTGATTGTCTCCGATAAAAAGGACGATGGGGGCGCTCTGAAAATTGACAATCACTTTCGGAGCGCGCAGCATGCCATTTAACTCTTTCAATATGTCACTAAAGTGTCTCGACGGACAGATATTGCCCGAGTCCTGTGCCCGATCCACTTTGGCGAAAATCAATTTTCCACGCCCTCGCCAAGCAGAAGAAAACTGTTATCCCTGTTGATTGATTACGCAGCCGGGTCGAGTGACTGAGCTAAAAGTTTTTCTCCGATTCACTTGGCCCACAAATAAATCATTAATTTTGCCAGTGACTGGATGGGATTAGCACGGGTTCAGGCGCTGATGTGCAACAAGCAAAGCACTGAAAATAAATATTTATGATATTTATTTAAATATGAATACTAACACTAAAGAAAAAGAAAGTCTCAACTGCCTAGACACCTGCCAGAAGCTAAAAGCTTAAATAACAAAAATAATACTATAAAATATTTTATAAAATAATATTGTAATAATACTTTTTAGCAGTTTTTTCTATAATCTTATTTAATAAATATTTTCCTTTTTCTAAATCCTTTCCAGGCGTCTCTGCTGAGTTATATTACGTGCGTGAGGGAGCCATCAATGACTACGCCCTGAACTTTGCCGTGCCCGTGCCGGCTAACATCAGCGATGTAACCTTCACCTGGCAGTCGCTGGTGGAGCATCCATTGCCCTACAGCATCAACATAGCCACCTCGGACACGGAGGTGCTGCCACGGCCCCAGTTGAATATCTCCCGTATTGGGGATGTGCCAATGGAGCCGCAGACCTGGGGCATTGCTCTGAAATGCTCAGGAACCAGAAATGCCGAGGTTACCGTAACCATTAACGTTGAGGTGATCCTGGACCGGGCAACCAATAACAACACGAACCTGATATTCAAGCGCAAGAAGATATGCTTGCGGGAGGAGCAGGACAGTGCCCACGAGGAGTACGATGACGATGATCTGGATGTGCTACAGCCGGCGTTGGGAGGACACAACAGCGACATCCACTATGTGGATCGCAATGAAGAGCATGTGGTGGCCAATGGACACCTGTCACCGGAACGGGAGAAGGACAAGAAGCGCCCGGTGATCACGGAGGCGCCGGTGAATGTGGGTCGTGGCAATTCCGGAGGCTCCAAACGGGACTTTGATCCCATGCTGAGGGAGAATCTTGTGCCGCCGGCTAGTGGTGTGATCACCCTTATCGTTGGCGGTATACTGGCTCTGGTGCTGGTCTCCACCCTCATACTGATAGCCTACTGTGCCAAGGGTCCCTCCAAGCGACATCCCTCGAATGGAGTGCACCTGATCAAGACCTCTAGCTTCCAGCGACTTCCCACAATATCCTCGACTGCCCACAACTCGATCTACGTCTGCCCCTCGACCATTACACCCACATACGCGACTCTGACGCGGCCCTTTCGCGAATATGAGCATGAGCCTGAGGAGTTCAACCGCCGTCTCCAGGAGCTTACAGTCCAGAAGTGCCGGGTCCGGCTCTCCTGCCTCGTCCAGGAGGGAAACTTTGGGCGCATCTATCGCGGCACTTACAATGACTGCCAGGAGGTACTGGTCAAGACCGTGGCCCAGCACGCCAGCCAGTTGCAAGTAAATCTCCTGCTCCAGGAGTCCATGATGCTGTACGAGGCCTCACACCCGAACGTTCTCTCTGTTCTCGGCATCTCTATTGAGGACTATGCCACGCCCTTCGTGCTCTATGCCGCCACCGGAAGTGTGAGGAATCTGAAGAGCTTCCTGCAGGATCCGTCATATGCCAGGAGCGTGACCACCATTCAGACAGTACTGATGGCCTCACAGCTGGCCATGGCCATGGAGCATTTGCACAACCACGGGGTTATCCACAAGGACATTGCGGCCAGGAACTGTGTGTAAGTATTTATTTGGAAGTTTTTTAATTAGTAATGGACATTGGACCACCATTAGTTTATTTAACATAAGATGTGTTATGAACCCTCATTTAATCTATATCTCTAAATATTTGTTTCTACAGAATCGATGATCAGCTGCGCGTAAAGCTCACAGATAGCGCCTTGAGTCGGGACCTCTTCCCGGGCGACTACAACTCGCTGGGCGATGGGGAGTACCGACCCATCAAGTGGCTCTCGCTGGAGGCCTTGCAAAAGTCGCATTACAACGAGGGCAGCGACGTCTGGTCCTTTGGGGTCCTTATGTGGGAGATGTGCACTTTGGGCAAGCTGCCCTACGCTGAGATCGATCCCTACGAAATGGAGCACTATCTAAAGGATGGCTATCGGCTGGCCCAGCCCTTCAACTGCCCCGATGAGCTGTAAGTACAAGAAATGATTATTATAAAACTTTAATTGAACTAAAAAATCAAAAGCAGAATTAGTAGACTTAGTGGTATAAACTTTAATCCATGTTTTCTGTAATATTAGTACTATAATTTAAATTGCTTTTTGCAAGACTTTTTTTGTAATTTCCTTTATTTGTTTTTCCCATTTTTAGATTCACTATTATGGCTTATTGCTGGGCCTCGATGCCGGCCGAACGACCCTCGTTCAGCCAGCTGCAGATCTGCCTATCGGAGTTCCACACTCAGATCACCAGATATGTTTAACCAGCGGTGCTGAAGCATGCCAAGACCTGTAAATACAACAAGAGGCGGCGTCGCAAGATTTTCCAGCAGACCACCTCGTCCACTCTGTTCCCAAAGACATATTTAAAAGGTAGCGCTTAGATATATATAGGGACTAGCAGCCATCTTACTGGAGAGATACCCAACCGTAAGCAAGTGAGCCAGGAGTTGGATGGAGAGGACAAAGGTGACACAGTTGTTCGAAAGACTCTCCATCCGAACTCTCCTCTAAATAACTCTTAGCTGTAGGTTAGTTAGTAAGGACATGTGACATTTCAATGCAAGAACTAGGATTACGCAACAGAACTATACACCAATTGAATTTCCCTGTTAAGATACACTTTCTCTCGCTAAGCAGAGCAGAAGCCCAGTAAAAAAAATTTCAACTGCGTTGCAAGAGACTAGAAAATATTGATATGGTAATCATTGCTAAAGCACATACAGAAAACCCGGAATTCCGAAGTAAGCCCGTACTAGGATAGGTCCACAACAAAATCGTAGTTTCAATGAGAGCGTTGCAAGTTTGTCATTATAATGGGATACCAATACCAATACCGGAACATATATCTATGTAAATGTATTCGCGTGTATGTAAATGTCTAAGACCGTAGTGCTAGTACGAACTCGAAATATTTATCTAATGTTAGAGCACAAGCGATCCCCAAACCAGAACCCCTAACCCTAAGTTATTGCCCCTTGCAGTCTCGAGTTGTAAGTTTTTGTGTAATATACTTAAGCAGTTTGCATTAGTTCTTAAGTTACTCTTATGATTTCTATGGCAAAGACACAAAAGAAAAACGATTTCAATAAACGTCCGTGCATAATATTTAAAAAACAAAACTATATGCTGACTTTTTCTACTCAAGTGGGGCAAGGGGAAATGGAACGAGCGAAACACTCTCCATGGCCTAAGGAAAGCATTCTCATTGAGCCTCGACCACGCCCGTCACTTAGCCTAAAACAACGCACTCTAAGAGCAATGTGTTGTTTGGTTACTACCCCCGCACGTCCCTATTTCACGAAACCAAACCAAAAACCCCAGCCCACACCCCAACCCCAAGTGAACCTAGCCCAGCCCAACGCAACCGAACCAATCTCTTTGCAACACAAAAGGCATGTAATGCCAACTGCCTATTTGAGAGCGGGCTGTCCCTCTACCTCTGGCTACAGTGGTACCTCCACAGTGGAAACTATTCATCTTCCTGGCAAGAGCTGATTTAAGGCAAACTCTTTAAAAAGTCCTAACTAAAGTAAGTAAAATTTCTCAACAAAAAGGTAATTTGAAAAAGTTTTTTTTTTGTTTACGTAACCATTTAAACTATTTGTTTCAGCATATCAACCTGATCATTTTCTTCTTTAGGCAGCAACTACTTTACATAGGCAAAGTCCTTGTCCGCACACCTGCACACGTTGAGGAGGGGCGGGGGAAGGCTCAGGTCACGGCATGCCTTTTGATTGCCATGCTGACACTACTTAGTTTTTGGCACGTCATGCTGGGGACACGATGTTGGCAGCGTCCCTTTTTAATATGCCCGTCACACCATCAACGAGCAAAGACTAGTTTTCGTCCTGCCCCCTAATGTCCCTATCTACCCGGCGAGATCCTTTAAAAAGCGCTCAAAGCGGTCTGCTCTTTCGGCACGTGCCCGCAGCCATAGCATTTAGCTAAAGCCACTACGCAAATCGAAAGCTAATAAGTACGAGGCCACCAAGGACACGAGGTTTAGCAGGAGAGTGGCTTATACAGAGTCACAAATCTCCAGGTTTATGCATAAATTCAGAGCTCATTTTAAGAGCAGAGGAGTAAGAAATATGGTCAGGTTTACATATTGCATGCTTTAAATTATTTAAGAAACGTCCTAATGGAATTGGTATTTACATTTGAATGGTTAATAAATTAAAGTCTTACAGGAAATGCAGAGAGCAAAGTTTAAGAGATTTCATAATGATTAACAATCTTTAATATACCATAAAAAAACGAACATAATGAACCTATGGAAATCCAATCAAAGAGTTATTTAAAACTGTAATAAAGTTCACCAAAACTGTAAGAGCCATACCCTTTTCTATGTTTCACTTTGTGGCCAATCTGGCGTACAGAAAAACTCCTGAAAGTTCAAAACTTTGAAGTGATATCGATGAGAGAGCGGTGAACTCGTGACATCGATGAAAAGAGCATCCTTTTGACTTTTTGGCGAATTTCCTCCCGGTCACTTAATATCCATAAAAGTCGCAATGCGGTCAGCAAAAGATTTATGGAGTCAAAGGAAAAGCCCAATCAAAGGGCTCAAAAAACAGTGAGCTCGAATAGTTGCGTTTCAATCAAATTAAACTAGAGTCCCAGGGCTAGGGCGTACAAAGGATATTTAGTTATTAAAAAAAACGAACAAAATGGTGGGGCACAAATAACTGAACACAACCAAATCGCCAAAGAGGTCGCAGTGAAACCGAATCCCCGAAATGGGCGAAAAAAAAGGAAGCCAACGGAAAAGTGAGTGCGGAAAAAAACCTGAAAAAAAAAAACTGAAAATTGAAAAACAAAAGCCAACTGGAACTTTGTTTTCGGTCAACACTCTAAGCCAAAAATCAACAAATATAAAAAATTTGGTGGCACGTGAGGCAGCATTTCAATTTTTTAGCGCTAAAACTTTTGGCAGAGCAGCGGCAGCGCCTGGGTGTCCCTTCCCCCTAAAACACCAATGCCATAAAACACCAGCAACAGACGCCGACTGAGAAAAGTGGGAAAAGCGGGAAATCAAGAGTGAGTGAGAGTGGGACGACAGTTGGTCGTCAGTCAGCGAGAGTGGAGTCAGTTGGGAGCCATTTGGGGAGCCATCTCCTGTGCCGCCCCCGAGTCCCAGATCCTGCTCCTGCGAGTGCCACTCCTTTCTCCGCCCCCTGCGCCAGGTGATGTCTGAACTTTGCGGTGAAGCAGCTGGAGGGGGTTGGGTTGACGAGGAGCTGTCAGTGTTGCCGATATTTGATGCCAACGAATAGCCAAGTTCAAATGCGGCTAATTCGTATTACAAGTAAAGGAAAAGAGTATTTAATCGACAAAACAAAGCAGACAGTTTAATATTTTAAAATTTTTATAATTTAGTTTATTTCGTTTTAAAGGAAAATAATATTATACCAAAATTTGTACCTAAAGTATAAGTATTTAATTAATAACAAGACACTTCTTTTGGAATTCCTTTAAGTTAATTAAATTCTTGGAGTTTCGAATTAAAGGAAATATATTTTATATCTATTAATATAAATAATTTTTTAACTTTTGTGATTATATATTCTTTAATAATTTACCCAATTTCACTGGCTGCACTGATTCAGAGGCAGGACGAGAGCTCGTCCTGTTGATGGCTTTGCCTAACTGCATCAAAACTTTTTGAAAGTCGGTCGGGGTTTGGCCTGTCCTCAAAAATTGATTACTTTGTCGAAAGCGCGACGCGGTCCAGTTTGGTTCAGTGCGGTTCGGTGGGCATTTTCAAGCTGTTGATTATGGCCACGAGGCATTAGCTCAAAAATAAATATTTACCTTTGAAATTATAAGGCAAAGTTTGCCCAGCTTCTGGTACGAATCCTATGATTGTTGCATCAGCTCGGTTAGCTTGGAAAAGTTTTATTTTTTTTTTTGCTTTCGATTGCAAAACTAATTAAAAAGTTGATGAAGTTCGCCGCTTGGTATTGCTTTTAAAGATTTAATTCGTAAATTACTGGTGGAAGGGAGTTGCTTTGGATGAAAGCGATTTAAGCTTGGGGTTATTTTCTTTTACGGTGAAAAACAAAATAAAAGGGGTAGGGATTTTAAAGGGGGTAACAAGGTGATCAGTATTTTGGTCAGTAACTTTAATACATATTAATAAACATAGAAAAATTTAGAATGCCCCATCTTTTCTATGGTTAAAGAATGCCCATAGTTCAGTTCTTAAGTTTTAAGCTGGGAGCTGCTTAAGCCACTTTCTCCACTTGAAACCCCATCCACTTTTCCCGCCCGCTGTGAAAATGCCAAATGCAAAAATTGTTTTTCAATTTCTTTTCTTCTTTTTCAATACGCTCAGCGGCGTGAAGGAGGACCAGAAAGGACGAAAAGCGCGTCTGACGTTCAGAACAGAGAACAACATTAGCATACAACTTTTCTTATTATTTTTTATGTGAAAAATTCTCCAAATTGCCGCCGTCGCTGGCAAATGCGAAATGGGGAAATGGGAAAGAAGTTCCAGGATAAGGCGAGACCAAAGGGGACCCGGGACCGAGGAGCAGCGTCAGCAACAAAACTGCAAACGGCCAAGGAAGCGGAAACGGAAAGAATACAACGCCAGACAAACGCCAAAGGAAAATTTCGTTTGCTCGGTGGTGTAACGAAGGGCGGTGCGTTATATCTCAGCTTTGAATATCTTTGCATCCGTAGATGTATCTGTATCTGTGGGTGTATCTGTTGTGGAGTTGGAGTTGTGTCGATGAGTCAAAGCCAGTGGACACACAAAGAACAATTTTTCAAAAATTAGCCATTACATTTTTTCTAAATTTGAAAGGATTTTTCTGTGAATCATTCGATATCAATTAGAATTATTAAATATAAGTATATTATAAATAAAATTTAAGCTTTTGGATGAAGTAATCTATTTCCCTACCACATTTCTCACATCGTTTTACAAGTTATTTGGAATATAATTCCCCAATATCACTTTAAAACTTGTATACATTTCTCTCCGTGTGCAGGAAAGTGAAATCCATCGCGAGTTGGCTTAAAATACATAATAATGACATGGAAGGAAATGATTTTCATTTGCCAGCCATCGCTTGATTGGAGTTACGGTTACCCAACTTCAGACGTAGCTGAGCTGGTCTACAGGAACCGCATCCCGTTTCCCCCTTACCGCTTCATTTGTCGCAAAGTTTTATTGAATTACTCGGGCGTGCCTCCAGTCGCAGACTGTCTTTGAAATCGAGTGGCTGACGGAGTTCGGCTAGGATGTAGCAGCGCTCTTCCTTTTGATTATAACGCCTTTTTGAAAATTCATTAAAAACTTTTCCCCACTTTTTCGCCGACGTTGTCAATCGATTAGCCTTCCTGCCTTCTCTGTTTTCACTCCCCTTCCCGAAAAAAAAACGTCGCCACCTGCATTCATTTATCATTTTCCACCGCCGCCTTTCGTCACTTGGCGCCTTTGACTTTGCCTTTGACTTTCTGCCAATTGTCATTATTCATCGCAAACTGTTTTCCAGCTTCCACCTCAATTTCCTCTCTCGGTTTGGACTGCGAGTTAGCCGAAAATTTCCCACATATGCCGGACCCGGGGTGTGATTAATTGTTGCCAGTATGGCGGCCGGACGACTATGATCGGGTTGGCTGCCAGAGTCAAGTGAGTCGGGTTACTTCTGGTTATTTGTGTTGACGCTAAATTCTGCAGTCAGGGCCCATAAAACACCCGCCGAACTTGAGATTGGTTTGGGGCAGCAGCAATTGATTGCCCCAACGAGGCATCTGTGTTTTAAGAGTTCCATTTCGCTCATGTGATTTATAAACTTGGCTAATCAAGAGCTGTCGAACTGAAGTAATTTCGTTGGAATTGTTGTCACTTTCAGCTGGGTTGTACGATTTTATGCGAGTTCATCAAGTGGCTAATAAAGTCTTTGAGCACTAAGAAAATGTACGGGGGTTTTGGCATACAACCTAATTTTTGTATTGTTAATATTTAAACAAATTTTTCTTTTCTACAAGTACAGTTCATAACATATCAAACAGAATTAAAAAAATATCGATTTATATCCATATACTATCCTGTCATCCCTAGCTTGTTTCTCATAGATATTGTATCTCATACATAATTTCCACTTAT